ATCTGAGGTGGAAGACATTAAATCTATCATGAGGCTCAAGAAATTTCTAGAAATTGTAGTGGGTATTTGACAAGAATATGAACAATGAAAAAGAATTGAAGAATCTCAAGAGAAATGAATGATTGAAGAAGGAATTTTAACGAATGCCCATTTTTTAGGCTTTGATACCATGTCAACAATGGAAGAAGAATTGGGAACATACTATGAATTTCATTCCTCAAGAAAAGTTATCTATACAGTAGCTATTTACACTATTTATATACAGGTATAACAAAATAACAACATGCTAACAAACAAGGGATAAAAAGGTAAGCTAACTAAACTAACTTTAACAATCTATTTACAATATAAAAATGATTAATATATACTTAAGAATAAGCTCATTAAATATTACAACTATTCAACAATATATGATTGAAATACAAAGCATGTGTTGATATTTTACATACTTGAGTATTTTTTACGTATCTTAAAAATTACCTTGATCAAATCAATTTTGTTTGAAAGTACTCTCTAAAATTTTGAAAACAAAAAGATCACTTAATTTCGAAATTAGACAAGAAAGTTATGATCGTTCAAAATTTGACTTGTGAAATTGTAAAGAGAGGGTCGATTGCACTATAGAGTGTCAAACAATCGTTCCTATTTTTGGCCAAACTTTTTTTACTTTTATTGTTGATATTTATCCTCCCAAAATGATAATGAAAGCTGTCATATTAAATCTTAAACCCTAGTCGTTTACCCTAATCAGTCTCAACCATCTATCCCACCCTACCTCCAATACATAAACCCTTTCTCATTTTCAAGCAATTCTTTTCTCTCTCTTTAGCGAACTCTTGTTTACTAAAAGCATTAGAGCCCTTGGCGATCAATGGCAGTTTGGCAAGAGTCTTGGTCTTGACTCAAGTCAACTATAAGCTTAAAAGCAAAATCCAGTCCCAATCTAAAAGGTCCAGAAGAGCCCAAGCAAGCCTGAAAGAGCCCAAGGAAGCTCAAAAGTTCCAGACAAGCCTAAACAAGTATATTACTGGTGTTCGTGTCCGACCAGAGAACCTTTTATATCTTAAACCCGTAGACTGTAGTTGTTTCTCATCAAATCGTTACAAGCTTGGAAACTTCATATTTCTCCATTTTACAATCAGAATTAACATAAATAAAGGTCAAAATCGAAATTAAGAAGGTAAAATGAACAAAACCAATTACCTTAAAAGGAGTGCACGTCTGACGGGGTCGATATCATAGAACAAATGACAAAATATGTAACAGAACACTTAGTAAAGTACACCACATAAATGATGACAACTGAGGTGTCACATAAGCTGTTGATATATGAGACTGCATAAGACCGCGCTTAGGGTGAGTTTGGGATGCATGAAACAGGGATTGTCAATTTCATACTATGTTACCAAAAGAGATATCTTACATTCCAAAATTATATATGTTATTAGAGAGGTGAATAAGTTGTGTATATATATATATATATGTACAAGGCTGATCCTATTATAGTCTAACTCTACTTAGTTAACAATATTTTAGTCTAACAAGCTAATTACCTAACAGTTGGGAAATGAAATACCTTCGTTAACAAATTAAATCTTAAAAAAAAACAGAATTATCTTACACACATCATTTTGTAAATGGATTAAGATAATTGGCACATATATGAATAAACATCTTGTTAAATTGACATAGCAAGTTAAATGTACACATGTCAATTATTGAAATTCATATATAGAATTAAAAACTTTACTGCCAAAATCCCCAACGAACAGTCTAGAAAGTATAATGTGCATTTTAATTTCAAACAATAGAATGCTTTTGATACAGAAAAAGAGAGATGGAATTTTATAATTAACAGTCAATAAGTTATATGCTTATTCGTATGTTTCATACGACAATTTGACTATCTTTTTTGGTGACAATGGAAAATCCCTTGGAGCAAAACTAGTTCTCTGTCATGACTTTTATCCTGACTTAAAACCTATGTTTATAATTAAAGAAACTCATATACTTTTGGTACAAGGTTTGACCGGAATGAATTCAATGGCACTGCTAATTGCCTTGATCTAGTGTAAATGGCGGATCTGCAGATACATAAATAAACTCTGTAAAATTGGAATAAATTGTAACTCTACCATCTATAAGACATGCAGAGTCCATAAAACTGGTAATTTTGAACACATGTTAACACAAAACTAATTAACAATTAAGAAGTTTAGATTTTGTATAACTATATTTGTATTATCATCGTGTCACTTTGTTTACGATAAAAAAATATATTTGTGTTAGTGGGTTAACATGCCTAATCCATATATCATATGTTTATACGCATCTAATAAATCGTATTAGAAGTTTCATCTATATTGCTCAACATATCTAACTTATTTAAACTCATTTATTGAATTATTAATATTTAAAATACATAAAATAACTTATTATTTTCCTTTAAATAATTTAATCATATTTAAATATGTTAATAGTATCATGTCTAAAAAAGTTATTCCTATTCAAACATGTTAGGCATATTATATCATGTAACTTGAAAAATAAATGTGAGAGTTCATGACAAAAACTTTGACATAGTACCACTAATAATAGCCTAGTAAAAGGAACAAATTGTAAAAAATAACCCTCTTCATAAACCTAATTCAAAAATATCCTTCATTATAATTTTAATTATTTTTAGTCAATTTTTGACATGACTTGACAATAATGTCCTTTAAACAATTTCAAACAAATTAAAATGGTTTTGGTTTTCTCTATTCCGTCATCTAGATAAAAATTTTAAAATTAAATCTCGATTTTTCTCTTTTACCAAATACTGTCTATCTCGTCATCTAGCTCTTTCTCGTCAACCCAAAAAGCAGATATGACATCAAGGTATGTGTTTTAGATTCTTAAGTTTATTAGTTTATTCATAAAACCCCAAAGTTGGGAAGTTAAAATTGATTAGCCATATTTTGTAAATTAGAAAACTGTATGACTTTGGCAACAATTTAAACTTGACTGCGAGCAGGCAAATCAATTAGTTATTAGGTATTACATTACTGGTTTTTAGATATTGTGTTACTAGTCTTTAGATATTACAAGACTGATTTTTAAATATTGCGTGACTTAATTATTGCGTCTCTGGTTTTTAGGTATTGTATGATTGTTTCTAAGCATTACATGATTGTTTATTAGATATTGCATGACTGATTTTTTGGCAATGCTTAAGTCACACAATACCTAAAAACTAGTCACGCCATACCTTACTAACCAGTCACGCAATATCTTACTAACCAGTCACGCAATGTCATATCAACCAGTCACATAATACCTAAAAATTAGTCATACAATGCCTAAAAATTAATCTCGTAATGCCCAAAAAGTAGTTACACAATGCCTAAAAGCCACCAAAACTATTGAATTTCATCTAACAAAATCAACAATTTTAAATAAAATACCATATTCCATTTAACAACATAATCAACGAATATGCCTACTTGGCAAAGAATACTTAAAATGTTCAAAATGCTCAAAGCTTTTTTTTATATATCGAAAATCACTCCAAAATGCTCAAAATGCTTAAAAGTTTTTTTTTTTGATAAGGAATACTCTAAAGATGAATGATCTAACAAGAAAAACTCGAAAAATATGAGTTGATTTGATGCGCAGACCTAAACATATGAGTCGTTTTCATTAAGAGTAATTTTGTTCAAAATTAATTTTTCTTAACTAAAAATAGTTAAAATTATACTAAAAGTTATTTTTAAAAACACTTTATATATGAAGGTATTTTTAAAAACAACCCTAAAAGAAGTTGGATGAAATTGCATCACCCTCGACAGAAGTACTAGTATGGAGTGGGTATTATTACATGCAATGTCAGATCATCATAGAAGCCAACAGGCTTCAAAATATTTGAAAATTTTGTTATATATATTGTATTTTCTCTAAACTTTTGAAAAGTTTTATAGATAAAATGAAAGAGTTACTAAAATTATAACTCTTTAAATTGGCCACCATTCATTTATGATCATTACGTTAAACTTTTGGCTTTACTTTTCTAAGATTTTATTTTTATTTTTATAAAAATTATGTCTTTTAACTTTCTATATAAATTCTTTTTAACTTTCATATTTAAATCATTGAATATAGAAGTATAACATGTTAATAAAGCTAAAAAAAGTAATTTTGTTTTTATAAAAAAATGTTTTCTAACAATTTTAAGTTAAAACCATAAAATAAATTTCTTAATATTATACGTAGACATATTGACATTAACAAATAGTTATAATTGTTTAGTATTTTGCTTGCATCTAAATTCTTGTTACTAGATCTGAAATATTTTGTAAGAAAATAAAAAATAGTTACATAATATTAGTTAAAAGTCTGTATCCGGCACCGATTACGTGTTTTAATTGTTGACGTGCATGCGCATGTGAAACAAATGTGTGGAGATATAAAAGCCAGAGCAGCATCATAATTACATGCTATGAAAGAGAAAGGCAGAAGAGCAGCATTGTGTGCTACCATGATGCTGGTTTGCTAAAAGGAAAAGGCTGATGAAGAGATGAGTGGACCGACTGAGGATCTCCCGTTGAAAGGTTTCAACTAATTCACTCATCATTTAGAAAGAATAACGTTGACATTTTTCGACACACCAGATGCCTTTATCTTTACTTGTACGTGGCTTGGTGCCCATTTTTACATAATACTGACAAGAAGCCATTGGGTATCAGCATTTCTCTAGGCCACCATACCTTGAACCATATTGGCGTGAATGAATAACGTTGACATTTTTCCACACACCAGATGCCTTTATCTTTACTTGTAAGTGGCTTCGTGCCCATTTTGACATAATACTGACAAGAAGCATTGAGTATCGGCATTTCTCTAGGCCACCATACCTTGAACCATATTGGCGTGATTCATAAGCAAACATCAACCCATTGGCAGGAGGCAGCTTTGCCCATATTCCAATTTCGTTAGCAAATTAAAACCCAAAACAAAGAAAGAGAATCAAACGCTAAGGGTTTATATACACTGTCCAATAATGTTTACTTAAATGGCTTGATTTTGTACAGATTTCTCTCCATAAACGACCCCAAAACTACCAAAGGAAAAATTTTCCTTCCTCACTTACTTACAAAACAAAAACAATATGAGATCAATGACTACTAACCTCTCATATTGTTTCTAAACATGACACCTCAACGACGCCTCTTTTCTTTATTTCTGTCCAACAAACTCATTTACTTACAACAAGACACCATGATTTCATTACATACAAAGGACCCTTCAAACATATTTACACCAAGAAAGGATTCCTCTTCTTTTTCTTCTCACTCACCGAGGACTTCAAAATTCCTCTGCGTTTTAAAACCTGAACTCTTCTTTTTTTAAAAGCTCCTCTCTTTTATCTATGTACTCTTTTGTGGATTAAAACGGGCTCTAAGCCAGCGCAGGGATGCTGCAATTCCGCCGATCCCTGTCAAGGCAATCAAACCCCTCCACTCTCACTGCTGGTTTGTTACCAAAATTCGCCCGAATACAGCCTCCTTTCCTTGAAGAGGACGATGGAGACGACGATGACAAGCCCGTAGGAGGCGGTGACATTGGGGTGATGATCTTCTCATCCCCAAATCGAGCATCCTGTATTAATGGGTTAGCTACTCTGCTCGGCGGCGACCCACTAAAAAATGGGGGCGACGACGCTACTTGTGCACAACTTTGCTCCACTCCACAACCACCCTGTTAAATTCCAAAACCAAACAATCATACTCGAATAAATTATGATAAACTAGAAATTTCGGAACCAAACCCTTCTCTGTCTAGAAACTAACGGTTAGATTTTAACTGGTCCTACAAATAGGTGCTGCGAAGATTTTTTTTGTTTTTTAATCGAGATGTTACTACTGTTTACGGCACCAAAGTTCAGAATTATTTATAGAATATTTTATTATATGTGGCGCCTTAAAATAAAACCATTAAAATTCCAATTTTTAAATAAGTAATAAAATTTAAAATAAAAATAAATAAGGAGAAAGAAGCATACCTTTGTAAGAATCATATCCAAAAGATCACTCCCTGCTTTTGAATCACAAAGCTCCGCTTGATGGCTGAAAAATATCACATAATTTGTCATTTCTTTGTTTTCGTTTTTTATTAAAAAAGAATGAAAGAAAAATAATAGAGGGTAAAAGTTAAAGGGCATAGAAAGGTGGGAAAATTACCTAAGTTGCCATCTGAGCGACCTAACAGGGTGGTCGTTGAAGGTGGCGTTTAAAAGACTCAAACGACGTGGTTTCGGACAGACCATAGTCTCTCTCCGATCTGTCACCGTAACCGAAACCGAAATGGAGCTCCGCAATTCCTCACGGCCGCTTCCAATTGCGTTTTGTTGGCTCGCACCCTGCTTCATAGTTTTCCTTCTAACTTTTTTTTTCTATATTAACAAACAATTTCCCTGTTTAACATAAACAGATGCTTAATTAAACGTCATCTTAAATAGAAACCAAAATGGAACCGTAGAGTTCTTGTACAGCACTTTAAAACGGTTCTAGATCGACAGATCTAGTAAAAAAAATTAAATAATGAAAGTAGATAGATCTAAATGCAATTTGAAGCCAGAAAAAAAAGTAAAACTAGTACGCGTTTAATGTCTTCACAGATCTACCGAAGCTAAGAAACGTTATAAAAAAACAGAAAAACTAAGCTGGAATTTTCTAAAATTAGAATTTGGTAAAGACATTATTCAGATCCAGGAAGAAATAAAGAAAATCTTGAAAAGGCGTTCTTCGAAGAGCTGAAAGTCGGGAAGTGAAAAGGCCATGGCTTCCAAAAAGGACAAAAAGATGTGAAGCGAAGAACTGGTGGAGAGAAAGAAAGAGAGACTGCTAATAATACCTTAGCTTCAACTGTACAGCTCCTTTGAGAAACTCTTGGAGTAGGTGGTAAATATGAACAGAGCACCATAAAAAAACTTAAAATGAAAAAAAAAAAGAAAAGAAAAATAGAGTTGCGTAGTTAGGCAAGAGGAGGAAGAAGGATAATAAAGGAGAGGTCCCGTGTAATTTATAGAAGAGAGAGAAGAGAGGGAGGGATGAGACAAGGCTCGAGAGAATCACAAAAAATGAAAAAATAAATAAAAATAAATAAAAAGGAGAAAAGAAGAGAAGTCGTATGGGAATTGAGAAACAGCACAGCTAAGAACCGAAAGAGAGAGAAAATGAAAGAGGAAGAGAAAGGAAAGCAGCATGGTGGGGGCAAAAACCTGCAAAGCAACAACTTCTCTTCACACTTTGGTCTGCCTCGACCATTTTTTTTTAATTTATTTCTAATTTTGTATAATATCACGAAGGCGGTGGGCCCCGCGAGAAATGTCATCGGTTTTAGCACCCTATTTTAATGTCTTAATTTAGTTATTAAAATATATTAAAAATCCTTAGAAATATCAGCGGCTCAATACTAATTTACAAACCAATTGGCAGTTGCCGAACCGACTTGCTTGTGACGTGGGATTATGTAGATCAAGAGCGGAGTTGCCATGTGATTTTGACGCGTGTCACTTGATCTTATTCCCAAATTTTAGGTGCTAGGAACGTGGTGGGCATGAGCATGTGTTTCTCTTTCTTGTTTTTCTTTTTCAATATATTTTTTTTGGGACAAATGTAAAGTACAGTCGGTATGAATAAAAGTACGAACACTGAACGCGCAGCCGAGAATCATGCCTGGACCAAAAATTTTGAATTTGATTATTACCACTTCATTTTCATTTTTCTTTTACTAAAAACTAGTTTTAGATCCATTTAAGTTTTTTTTTCATAGAAAATTATTTTTCCTTATAATTATAAAACTTTTCTTGTTGGCATGACAATAAAAATTTCAAAGGAAATAAAATTTGAATTTTTATTTTGAATATTTGAATTTAAAACTAAAAATATAACATAAAAATGATTATCCTTTTCTGGTATAATGTTTGAAAAAAATTTTAAACTATGGAAGAAATTTTTTTAAAAAATTATTTTTTATTACGTTTAATTAAATTAAATTTAATTTTTATATTTTTATTTTAAATTAAATAGACTTTTACAATTGATAGTTAATTAATTATTATTAATTAAAATATTACGTCTTATTTTACACTCACATGGCATTGATGTGAAAACTAAAAAATGTCACATAACCACATTAACAAGCTATATCATCATCCATTATGAAAAGTATAAAACTTTTGATATTGACATAATAACAAATTTTTAATGAGAAATAAAACTTGAATTTTCAATTTAAATATTTGAATTTAAAATCGAAAACTATAACATAAAAATGATTTTACGTTTTTTGGCATAATGCTTAAGTAATTCTTATTATTCTTAAATTATATAAAAAATTTAAACAAATTATTATTTTTTTATTATATTTAATGAAATTTTATATTTTTATAATTAATAGTTAAATAATTATTATAATCAAAATATCATTTATTATTGTATATCCATGTGGTGTTAACATAGAAGATAAAAATATTATATAATCAAATCAATAAGTCATGTCGTCATGTATTATATCATATCAACATAATATGTCAACGTTACATGAAATAAAAAAATAAGTGATATTTTGACTAAAAATTAATCATTATTAATTATAAAATTTATTTTATTTAAAATAAAAATATAAAAATTTAATTAAATACAATAAAAATATAAACTTATTTAAATTAACCTTCATAGTTCACAAACTATTTTAAATATTATCCTAACAAAAAAGGTTTTTTAAAGTTTAAACCATATAATGCCCACTAGCACACTTATCAACGAGGAATAAATTTTGAACATTATTGGAATAATTCTCAAAAACATACAATCCTAGTGAGTAGCCAAGCAATACCAAAAAAAGTTCGCTCCCTATCAATGTTTGTGAGAAATCTTGCTATGGGCGTTTCTTGCCATCCCAAGGTCCAACAATAAGTCACTACAAAAAATGAACACTAATATCCCACTAAAAAAATTCTGTCAAAACCTTTTATGGAATCAATGTTGCTATATTGTATTCTTAATTTATACGTCTAAGATAGATGTAAGTTAACTTACAAGGTGATGATAACTAATTAAAATATCATAATAGCATGATAACAATCTAAAGAAGCTTTGCTATGACAACATCAAAGAACATTACCAAACCCCAAAATACTAGCTTATAAATCTTTACATAAGTTAATTTTTTACATATTGATTAGTTTCCTTTGCATTCAAATATTTTGAATAAACTTTTTTTGTGTAATTAGTTTAACTAAATATTTGGGTTTAGGCTAGATGATGATTGCATGGTCAATTGTTTTGTATTGCGACTTCCTATATTTTTAGAAAATTTTATTTTCCTATTGTTATACTAATTATAATGGTAATTTTGGAGATGGTTTTGTCACATTATAACTCTATTATAGTTACACAATGGAAAGAAATCAATCTTGGATATATTGTCATGATGTCAATAGGTCAAAGTGGACAATACATTATAAGTTGATGTGGATCTTGACACTTTACATGTCAGCAAAAGTAAATGAACACATGACATGGTAAGTTATGATAGAATGCTTAGACATTTTGTTGATGGTGAGAACTAATCAATCTTTCACTAGTTTCAATTCTTTTTGGATAGTTTGGTCAGTAATGTTGATCAGCCAAGTTGGTGTAAACCATGACACTTTACATGTTAGCAAAAATCATTAAACACAAAACATGGTAAGTTATGATAGAATTCTTAAACACCTTGTTAATGGTAAGAAGTAATCTGTCTTTTGCTGATTTCAATTCTTTTGGACAATTTTATCAATAATGTTGATTATCCAAGTTGGTATAGACCATGACACTTTACATGTAAGCAACAATCACTGAACATATGACATGGTAACTTATGATAGAGTGCTTAGACACTTTGTTGATTGTGAGCACTAATCAATCTTTTGCTGGTTTTAATTCTTTTGGATAGTTTGGTCAGTAATGTTGATCATCCATGTTGGTGTGGACCATGACACTTTATGGTGTGGACCATGGCACTTCACATGTTGGAAAAATATCACAAAACACATGACATGGTAATTTATGATAAAGTACTTAGACATCTTGTTGATGGTGAGAACTAATTAGTCTTTTGCTAGTTTTAGTTCTTTCGGATAATTTAGTCAATCATGTTGATCATCTAAGTTGGTGAGGACCATGACACTTTACATGTTAACAAAAATCACTAAACACATGACATGGTAAGTTACATGTCAACAAAAATCATTGAACATGTGACATGGTAAGTCATGATAAAGTGCTTAGACACCTTTTTGATGGTGAGATCTTTTATTGGTTTCAGTTCTTTTGGACAGTTTGGTTAATAATGCTAATCATTCGACTGTACTCTAATAATTATGTAGGAAAAATGTGTGCATTAAAACCAGTCATGTTCTTTTTGAAAACTAATTTAAAGTTACTCCGAGTCTTATTTTTTAATGTCTTACAAGCCTATTGATCTCAAAAAATTGAAATTGAGTAAACTGAGTAATAATCACTCTTTTCACTATACAAAAACCTTAGTGTGTGGTCCATGCCAACCTTTAAGGTGTTGTTCACTTTGACTTCCTTGGGACAAAAGGTTCATGGCTCCTTACTAGGATCATGACATCCTCCATTGATGAGGAATTCATGGCTCTCCGTTAAAACCATGACATCATTCAATGGTGTGGGATTCATGACTTCCTATTAAGATCACTACTTCTTCTCTGATGCGAGATTCATAGAAAAGAAAGGTTTTTCTCCCCCGATGCGTGATTCATGGAAGATAGTGGTTTTTTTTTCCTTAATGCAGGATTCATGGAAGAGAATGGTTTTTCTCCCTCAATGCGAGATTCATGGAAGAGAAAGGTTTTTCTTTAAAGAGTGAAAAGTTTTTTGCTTTTGTAATTTTAGAACATTCAGTAAATTGTTGGTGTGCCATTTGGTGGAACACTCAAGTCCATTTATAACCTTTTAAAGATCAATCGATAACTTTCATCAAAATAATTATGATAATATTTTATTAGATGATATCAATATACAATAATCGTGATAATTCTAATTTATCAATATAAAAAACCAATAACGTAAAAAATCCAATATATATGTATATACGTGTGTGTGTATGTATGTATGTATGTATGTACACAAATAAACTCTTCAGAAGCTTAATTGGTTATATATCAACAATAATATATATGATTAATATGAATAAAATATAAATAAAAAATATAAATATTGTTATTTCTACGGTATAAATAACACTGTGATTGATTTCATGTTATATATATAAGGTATAAATATTTTAAAAATTAAAAATTATTCAAATAAAAGAAATTTACCCTTACATGAACTTGTGAACAAACTCTCATTTATATGAAGAAGGTATTGAGTCACTATAGTCGTAATGGTGACTTTGTGTCATAGTCTTAACGGAGAGCTAAGTGAATCACACAACGAAGAGATTGTATGCTTTCAACAAGTAGAGCCATAAATTTCACATCAAAGAAAGATGTCATGGTCTCAAACGGAGCCATGAATCCCACATTAGTTGTGGTACTAGAGTGAGACTAGATATTTAAAGGTTCACACTATCTCCAACTTATAAGGCATTTTTTATGGGACAAAACTATGAGGCTAGCGAGTCAAAGTGAACAATTCTTGGTGGGTTGCTGACCATGACACTTTACATGTCCAACCATGATAGTTTACATGTTAGCAACAGTCACTAAACACATGACATGGTAAGTTATGGCAAAGTGTTTAGACACCTTGTTGATGGTGAAAACTAATTAAGTTTTTGCTCGCTTAAGTTTTTTTTTGGGATAGTTTGGCCAGTAATGTT